CGGACGAAGACCAGTTCAACAAAGAAATCCAGCAAATCACGGCCACGATACCCCCGATGCCACCCACGATCACTCGCCTCCACGATACCCGCCAAGCCAGAGAAAGGCCTCACAAAAGAGGGGGGAAGACGGGACGAAGATCCAGAGCTAAAAGAAACCGAGCAGATTATACAGAAAAAAAGAAGAAGAAAGAAACAGGACCGAGAGAGGGAGCATACAGAAAAAAAACGAACACAGAGGGGGGCCAAGTTTTTTTCCCCCCCTTGTTTCTTCTCAAAGAAACAGCGGAGGACACGGAGAAAAGGCCACGAGTGGAGAACCAGAAGAGAGAGAGAGAAAGAGCAGGAGAGAAGAGAATTGGAAACAGAGGACGAAGGGAACAAAATCGGAGGAAGAAAGCAACGACCCGAAGTCCTCCATCGCGTCTCTGCTTCCCTGCGCTCAGGCGAGCCATTCTTTCTCCTTTCGTTTTCTTTGATTCATTTAAGTGAGGAGCCTTGCACTGTGTGAAGGTAATTAATAACCTTTGCGCTGTTCATGCACGCGTGGAGACACTCCACGCGTGTCTCCTGCTGGCTTAGTCCCAGCTGGGTCCCTGGCTTGGCCAGTGACCGGGCTAGACTGGCTGGGTCTAGCCCAGCCCATGTGAGCTGAGCTGGGCCCAACCTTAAAAAAATAAAAAATAAAAAAAATAAAAAATATGTATATATGAATAAAAATAATATAAATTTATTGATTTATTCACTAATACCAGAGTCAGAAATAAAGATACTGGTTTAAATTTATATTATTTTTATTCGTTGTATTTTATTTTATTTAGCTAGAAAAATAAAAATAGGGGCATGTGAAAAAATAAATTTATTTTTATTTATTTATTCACTACGCTAGAGTATGGAATAAAATTTATTTTATAGCTATGTAATATTTACCAACACTAGAGTTGGAGATATTCGTAGTTAAATATTCAATGAAGCCAGAGTCAGGAATATTATAAGGAAATTATCATAGCGTAAACTAATAAACATTTAGCAATTTAAGACAAAACCAGCAATGCAGTCTGCTTTAGGCAGAATGTTTAAGGAGTGATAATATCTTTCCTTTTACGTAACTAGTTTAGTACCATAGAATCTCTGTTGAGTAGTTAGGGTTCCTAGTGACTATAATACTAGCCACGATGCCACCCACGATCACTCGCCTCCACGATACCCGCCAAGCCAGAGAAAGGCCTCACAAAAGAGGGGGGAAGACGGGACGAAGATCCAGAGCTAAAAGAAACCGAGCAGATTATACAGAAAAAAAAGAGAAAGAAACAGGACCGAGAGAGGGAGCATACAGAAAAAAACGAACACAGAGGGGGGCCAAGTTTTTTTCCCCCCCTTGTTTCTTCTCAAAGAAACAGCGGAGGACACGGAGAAAAGGCCACGAGTGGAGAACCAGAAGAGAGAGAGAGAAAGAGCAGGAGAGAAGAGAATTGGAAACAGAGGACGAAGGGAACAAAATCGGAGGAAGAAAGCAACGACCCGAAGTCCTGCATCGCGTCTCTGCTTCCCTGCGCTCAGGCAAGCCATTCTTTCTCCTTTTGTTTTCCTTAATTCATTCATTAAGTGAGGAGCCTTGCACTGTGTTAAGGTAATTAATTACCTTCGCGCTGTTCATGCACGCGTGGAGACACTCCACGCGTGTCTCCTGCTGGCTTAGTCCCAGCTGGGTCCAGCCCAGCCCATGTGGGCTGAGCTGGGCCCAGCCCCAAAAAAATAAAAAAGGTAAAAAAATAAAAAATATGTATGCGTAAAAATAAATTTATTTTTATTTATTTATTCACTGTACTAGAGTAGGCAATAAAATTTAGTTTATAGCTATGTAATATTTACCAACACTAAAGTTGGAGATATTCATAATTGAATATTCACTGACACAAGAGTCAGGAATATTATAAGAAAATTATCATAGCGTAAACTAATAAACATTAAGCAATTTAAGACAAAACCAGCAATGCAGTCTGCCTCAAGTAGAACGTTTAAGAAGTGATAATATCTTCTCTTTTACGTAACTAGTCTCGTACCATAGAATCTCTGTTGATCAATTAAGGTTCCTAGTGATCATAATACTAGGTGGTGACTCCTTAAATAAGATCATTCCCCATCAAAGAATAGGATGCCAGAAATTCATTCTTTTCCGTGAAAATGTTTTAAGGCCGCTGTAATGTCGGGTGCGACTATAATATTAGGTGGCAACTCCTAAACTTTAATTATAAATTTATGATTAAATCTGTCGCACGTGTGCGGCGTTGCGGCGATCGCCCAGCACCCACTCATCAAGTGCGGTATGTCTATCTATTCTGGAAAATATGGTGAGACAAGGAATACTTTGTCTCTTAGCGGTGAAAAATGAAATGGGAGTCACTACCTAATATTTTGGTCACTAAGAACCCTAATTGGTCTTAGAGATTTGGTACGGAGACTGGTTGCGTAAAGGAAAGGTATTAACACCCCAAATAGGCCCTACCTAAGGTAAGCTGCATTGTTTTATTGTCTAATAAAAAAAATCTAAGGTCTTATCATGTTGGGCCATCTAGGGTTCAAGAAAAGCTCTCCTTAGTGAGAAGGTTCTTATCTTAAGGGGTAAAAATCTAACTGGTCTGTCTATAAAAGAACTATCTTTTTAATATCGAAAATATGTTTTACGTATAAATTCGTAATCCTAAACATTAAAACAAAACAAAATATTCTTTGATTTTTTTTGAAATATTGGCCAAGTTCTCTTAACTTTAATAAACTGGTTATTAGAGCCTAAATGCATGCTAAAATAATATATATTTTTTGAAATTTTCTTTGTTGTATAAAAAAATACAACATGAGTTTTTAGCTTTGAGAGACTTGGCCGTATGCATGAAAACAAAAGTATTTTTTTGAAAACCAGATATATTTAATACCGGGTTTGTATTTTTACGATATAAAAATACAGACCAATTTTAGTCAAAATGACGTAGAAAAATCCATGGGAAAATCACAATATATATATATATATATATATATAACAGAAAACAAAAAGGAGAAAAAGAAAAGAAAAAGAAAGACTCAGCCCAGCCGTGTGGGCTGGGCTGATGTTCCAACCTTCAGTTAATAGGGCTGGACGCGGCCGGGGGGCTGACGTTTCAGCCCACAGAAAATAGGGTTGGACTTAACCCAGCCGTGTAGGGTGGGTTGATGTTCCAGCCCACAACCATGGACTGGTTACTGTGCATGAGCACAACGCACAGTAACTGGCTAATTATTCTTCTTGCATGCAGAACGTGCACAATGCACATTCTCGCAACAAGAAGATGAACAATGACCGGCGACTACAAGTGCGTTCTACAGCAAGAAGATGAACAATGACCAGCGATTACGAGTGGGGAAGAGAATTACCTAAGGGAATAATCTTGGGTGGCTGGGCTGATGGTGAGGTTGGTGACCGTTCTTGGTGGCATTGCGGTGGCAGATGGTGGTTCGAGTTGGCGCTGCTGTGGTTTTTTTCTTCTATCTTATGCAGAGGCCCTTTTTTTTTTGTCTTCCCATTATCTTCTCTTTCTCTCCTCTGTCTCTCCTCTTCTTTTCTCCTTTCTCTCTCGAAAACGATTCTGTTTCTCTCTTTCGGTCTCTCCTTTCTTCCTCCAAGAAACTATCTCTCTCTCTCTCAGTCTCCCTCTTTTTTCTCCTCTCTTCCCTACTGTTTTCTGCCATTTTCTCTCCTTCCTTCTTCTTCCATTCGGGTCACTATTTATAGGGGCAGGGGGAGTAGGGTTGACCCTTCCCCGTCCCATCGCACGTCTCCTGCACTGCTGCAGCGCCGACCGAGGTGGCCAATGGAGGCGTCGCTTGAAGGGCACAACTTCTCTGTCTTCTCATCATGAGGAGGTGTGGGTGGCATCCGGTTTTGGTTTTAACAGGGCATATGGGGAGCAAGGAAGAAACAAGGGGAAGAAAACAAAAAAGCTTCTCTTCCCTTGTTGCACATCCAGGGGAAGAAGAAGAAGAAGAAATAGTGCAGCCTCAAAATGGCACTGTTTCGTCTCTTCTTTCTTTCTTGTTGAAAATACATGAAACGACGTCGTTTTTTTTAAAACACACCATTTCATTTAAGTGAAAACTGGCGCCAAAGTGCCAGATTACAAGTCAAATCTTCAATTTGCACGTGTTTTGCATTTTGGTCCTTGATTTCGAATTTCTTCAATCAAGTCCCTAATTGACCCTTAAACTTCAATATTTATGTAATTAAGCCCCTGATTTGACCAAATCAACTTTCTAAAATTATAATTTGACTCTAGAACTTTAATTCTTTCCGATTAAAACCTAAATTGACTTAAAAACATTTTTTATTTTGCAATCAATTCTCCATAAATTCAATTAAACATTCAATAAAATTTAATTGAGTCTATCAACATTTGATTTTATACTTTTCTTCCTCAAATAAAATTTTTTTAATCAACAGTGTTCTCACCGGTCAATGATATAATGTTAAATTTTAATATTTGTATTTTGGACCTCCTAAACTTTTTAACCATTTTTGGGCGCTCTAACATCCTCTTTTTACTAATATATATATTGTTTTGATATATTATTTATTTATTAATATTTTTTTGTTTTTTTATTTTTTATATCTTCTCTTTTCTTATATAGAGATCCAAAAATAAGTTACAATAAAATCCAAAATCTTTTTCTTTTCAATAATACCTCTCAGAAAATGTTTTAGCGTGTCATTCGACGTCATCCTATGATAATTACTAAAAAAAAAAAGGGAGTATAAGAAGGTAGTGGATAGAAGACTTTGCTCAGTCTCTGTCTCTAAACAGTCCCTCAATCCCTTATGTAAGAGATATGGAAAACCGTTGCTGCTAGAATTAAACTCTGCCATTTTAAACCGTGAAACGGAAATAAATTTTGCCATTGAACACGACACATATTCTAGAAGTTTTAAGGTTAATATCTAATGTTAAAAAATAAAAAATAAAAAATACCCAGGTATTAAACAAGAGAAAAAATGATCAACAATGTATAAAACCTGATAAATTCATTGTTGGTGAAATGGGGATATTGAAATCGAGATCATGCATTAATTATTCAGCTTCGTTTAATCTGAAGATGATCCTAAAAGAAGAGAATTTTGAGAGGAAACAAGTACAAACTCAATTTTAGGACAATACAACAAGAATTTACAACAACATTATTAGTTCAGCAATACACATGCCCAAAGTTTAACAACAATCTTCAAAGGAAATTAACAATAACAATCACATCAATCATACGTAGGCTTAATGAAACTAAGCAAGATAAAGTCCTAGAATACTGATTTTACGGAAGTGATAGTCTGTATCAAAGTGAGGATCAGGAGGATAGCTGCTACAACAGTTCCCGTACCTCTCCAAACATGGGCGAAATATCCAAGTTCCAAGGTTGCCTTCAGACGGTTCCAGCGATTCTCATAGTGGAGATTCATATTCTTACAGATATCATCATAATAAGCGGAAGTGTCGCCAATATTTTCGTTAAGCTTGTTAATCATATTTGAAAGTGCGGCATCGTCACCTAGCCAGTGGAGAATGATTCCCTTCCCGACTAGCAAATCCACGTCTTCTGCACTGTTGATGAGGTTGTCCAGAAACTTAATGTAATTGCATATGTAAGCTTCAAACGGTTTGTAGCACTGCTCCAAGGCCATGATATTTCGTACAAATCGTTCGGAGCTGTAATCAATTTCCACGCGTGGTATTTCCAACACTCCTTTCTCAAATCTTATGTTAAGCATGCATTTCTCTTTGGCGACCCGAAACCTTACTCCTGCCTTGCGAAGCATGACGGCGCTATATTTCAGCTTGATAGTATCAAAAGTAAAACTTCTCTCAGTGACTCCATCCAGCATTAAATTCCTTAGTAAATCAGTGAAGTGCCTGCTTCCCTCTACTTTCGGGTCGGTGTTTACCACTTCTGGGAACGCATACTTTCCAAAATGAAAGGTAGCAAGACGAAGTAAAGGAATGCTTGGTAACTCTTGGCGAGCGCGATTGACCTCGTCATATATTTCCTCAATAATGAAGAAAGGTAGTTGGTTTTCAAGTAGCTCCAAGTCTTCTTTTATGTCGGACATCATCCAAGGCTCAAAATTCTTAGGACCATCTTCAACATCATTTGACTCCTTTATAAACTCAATAATGAAGACGGCATCCAGCAGGATCATCTCTATGAAATCCCTGCTCCCAATTTCGTTGAAGTTCTTTGAATAATATTGTCGGATATTCTTTTCTTTATTCCGAATGATGTTCACAAGATCCATAATTCTCTCGTCACTCATCCTATTCCTCTTAAACTCACTAAAACATATCCATTTCTTACTTTCCATGATCTCTAGTTTGGCATTGCCGTGGTGAAGAGGACCTATTGAAATCAGTTGTGGAGTGTAGGCTTCCGGTTTTACGTTTCTAAGCAAATTGGGCACCTTGTAGATACAGCAATCAGACAGGACCTGTTGAGGTGTGCACGAATCCACCAAAATGTTAAAACGTGTCACAATATCTCTAGTCATGTCATAATCTTCCTCATTTGATGCTATTGCTCCTTCAAATTCGATATTCATTCTTGAAGCACATGCAGTACTGAGTTTAACTATTTGCGGTCTGCAGGTTCAGTGAAACAAACCAAGAATGAATAGAAAGGGGGTATACATAGTTCAATTTTGAATTTTTTTTGAGATATATGTACTAATATAGTAATTTCTGTGTTATTTCACAAAATCAAGGCACTTTTTTATTCATGATATTTTATGTTCCTGAATTTAGTAGCACCAATCACAAAAATGTAAAATTTTAAAATTTCAAGTTACATCTTTTTTTGTTTAAATTTACATCAAAATTTACATCTTTTTTTATATTTAAATTTAAATTTACATCAAAATTTCAAGGCATAAACTTTTGGATGCCATCAATTGGTGAATAACTACTCCCAAGAACCAAATCATTGAGGAAAACTCGTCATCACTTGCATGTGAGTTAAAAATACAAAAAATAAAATTTAAACAAGAGATGTCTTTACATTTTAAAGGACTCCTTATAGCTCCATTGTTGCACATGCATTTTTATTTTATTTTTCTCATTTACAATCTATCAATAATCTTTATATTCTACATACAACTCAAATTTCATGTCCTTTTTGACGACTCTATATCTTTCACCAATAACACCTTTTTCTTCTTCTTTTTTCTACCTCTCTTCCTCTAACTCATTTTCTTCTTCTCTATATATCCCCCCCAATGTAACTCATTCTTTTCTCTCTTTTTATCACTTAAACATACATTTTATCTTCATATCCACCTCTTCTGCTCTAACTCAATCTCTTTTAAATTAATAATCCATGAAAAAAACTACACAAGTCTTTTACTAAATTGAAGATCAATGTGTTTCGTTATTGAATTGAAAATGATGTTGGCACTATCTCAAAAAAGAAAGAAAGAAGAAGTCAGCTTGGAATGCTTATACATATATTGAACCATGCACGTAATGTATCTGCAGAGCTTAAAACAATTCCAAAACGTAAAAATCTAAAAAAAACTAGACATTTCAGAGAACAAACAAGTTAGTGCTTACCTGAGGGAGATCAGACGACTGTATCTCTATATATATGTTCCCAAGCAGCGAGCCTCTTTTCCTATATATTGCAGCCTCTCTCTCGCTCTTGCTCTTACCAAGCCAAATGGTTGCGCCAAATATATATGCAAGGACCGGTAATTGAAAATCACAATAATAAAGAGGCATGTGTAACTAATATCAATTTTAACATGTAACCAGTATATTTGATGATAAAACATGGAAAAAAGTCATGAAAGTACTGAATGGTGAATTGTCTATATTTGTTGTCGGTAGAGAGGTGAATATATTGCAAATATTGGAAAATCAAAATAGTTTTTAATTTTTAAGATTAATCTTCAATTTCTTATATGTGTAAAAAGTGTCAACAATGAGCATAAAAAACAAAAAAGAAGGACAGAAGGACTTGAGAAAATACTTTTCATGCAAAAAAGGAAAATTTAAGAAAGTATTTTTCATGAAATGCGGTTTTATTAATTCATTTAGCAATTTATTTTGAAAAAAAAATATTAAGCAAAATCAACATAATTTTTTTAAAAAATAATATGTTCAATTCGTAGCTTTTTAGAAAGTGAAATATGATTTCCTCACTTTCCATGACCGTGAGTTTCGGGCACATGAAAGCCAGAATTTGATTAAGATGACGGCCCAGGTTGGACAGCCCATCATTACTCCTCTTGTAAAAGTTCAATAAATAATTTGCCTATTTTGTGCTATTTGCACATAAAGTTAAATTTCTACAGATGCAATTTTTTTTTTTGACGAATAACACGTTAGAGTATGTTGAAGTTTTCATTTTTTCGAGTTTAACCGTCAGTTAGAGTAAATTTTATGTTTATTTAGAAGATGTTCGAGAGAGTAATAAAGATTATTTTTTAAAATATTTTTTATTTTGTAAAATTATTTTTTATATCAATTTATAAAAATAATTTAAAAATATAAAAAACTTAATTTTATTAAGTTTGTTTTTTTGTTATATTCTTATATTTTACTTTTGAAATATAAAAATAAATAAAATAAATCATAACTTTTTTATATGTTATATGTTGAAACTGTAATAATTAATGAAATGACTAAAAAGTTTCATAAACTAAATCACTATGGCCAATGAAATTTCAATAGCCAAATCTCCCCTTAAATTTTACAAATTTGAAGGGATATTGTGAGATTTAAGGTAAATTATTATCTAATTTTAATAAAAACTTTTTTACACAGGGATTCTTGAAAATCTTATCCCATTTAAAAATATATGCTAATAACTATAATAACTTAAATGTAACATCTCATACCGTTTATACTAACAAGTAGCCTCAATAGTACCACTCAAAACGCAAACCTCAATTATTATTATCTATTATATTTATGAACTATTATATATAATAATTTTTTCATGAGATGAATGCAAATAAATAAACATACATAAAAAATTTAAAATATTTAAATAATCCAACATTTTACTAATTACAATCTCAAAATAATTTAACCTAATTTGTTTTTTTATCTATCTATATTTGTGTTATTTGCTAGATGAGCCAAGCTCATTAATAGAATGACTATCTCCTAACTGAGTGACCTTGTTTTTGGGTTGAATATCATTAAGAGTTAACATCTTTTTAAAGTTTATAAATATATTGTGATAAATAGTGAATCAATAACACACATAGATATATCGTTTGTTTTCTTCGTTAATATTACAAAGCACGTAGGCAACCTCTCAATCCATCTATAGCAACAAGCCAATCTAATATTAATACAATACTAACATTAAATTAAAAGTTCTATAAACAAAAAAAAATAATTTATCATTGTCTTAAAATTATCATTATATACAATCAATACATACATTATAATACTGATATTTTCTAAGTTAACTCATTGAAGTTATATCAACTTCAATATTATTATAATTCTATTTAAGTCCATAACATATAATTTATTTTATTTCTGTATACAACATGCCTAAATTAAATTAATAGTTATCAGTGCTTTAATCATTGTATATAATACTACTATTTACATTAGGAATAATAGTACAATTGTAATGCATAATCTAAAGATATTATAAGAAATTTCAAAGAATTAGACATAATTTAAATTAAATAGTATTAAATCAAATTCAATTGTCCAAATTTAAACAAATTCCCAAACTTTTGATGCACTGCATACTTTACAAAAATTAAATATAATTCATGATATTTTTATACTAAATTGTATAAAATCAAATCTAATTGCAAACTTTCGTATCTAATTTGAAGTGATTCAAACAAAATATCAAGTTTAACAACTTATCAAAAATTCAATGCAATAAATAATTCAATGTAATGCAGCCTCTTTCATGCTCAATTTATTAAATATTGTGATAATTTTAAAAGTGTTATTTTGCCAAAATTTTTTAAAACTATACCTTTTCACTAAATTTATTTTTAGTGTGCTCTTTTTTATTTTAAAATCAAATAATGTAGGACCTCCAAGTACAAATTAATGGGTCCCATGCCTACAAGAATCAAGACTAAAGTAATTCAATTCAAAAGCACAAACTAATCCAAATCCAACTCAAATGATCGTGGTCATATTCTGCATGATTTTTGTACTTTCTGAGTCAATTCCCGACAAAGATAAAAAAGCACATGAAGTTAGCGTTTGTTGAAGTTTCGAAACGCAAGCCTAATTGATATCACGGTTTCCATTTATAACTTTTTAATATGTAGCGTTTAGAACCCGTGAGTTCAAGTAAATTTTGTGTTCTTCAACTATGATATATATATATATATATGGTGCTTTCAAACAATAATAACTAACAAAATGACTATAAAGTTCCAGAAGCTAAATCCACACAATCAATGAAGTTCCAATAGTGGAGTCTCCCTGTATATCTTAGAAATATTAAAGTGTGCTTTTGAGATTTATGGTGAGTTATATCTATATCCTATTTTCAGGTTGAATTGTATAACAGCTCAAATTCCACCAGTTTTTGAGTTTGTTAATTTTACAATTAATTTGGCTCATGACAAATATAAATCCAAGAATCTACAAATCATAACAAACTTTTTTTTTGTTTTTGAGTTTGTTAATTTTACAATTAATTTGGCTCATGACAAATATAAATCCAAGAATCTACAAATCATAACAAACTTTTTTTTTTTTATTAAAGTAAGAAATTATCTAATTTTAATAAAATTTTAGTAGAATTTTTCTTGCATGGCTATTCTATCCAAAATCTTATCTCATTTAAAAATACATGTTAATAACCATAATAACTCCAATATAACAGCTTATACTGTGCATAATCACAATTGCCTTAGACATACCACTCAAAGCATAAATCTTAATTATAATCATCTATTATATTTATGAGCTATTATATGTGATAATGTTTTCATGAATGCAAATAAATAAATAAATAAATAAATATAAATAAATATAAATAAATAATTTTTTTTTGAAATACTTAAACAATTAAACATTTTACTAATTGCAATCCCAAAATAGTTCAACCTAACTCACTTATCTATCTACTTATCTTTTTGTCTACTTCATCCACCAAATGAGCCAAGTTCATCAATAAAATGACTACCTCTTGCTTAAGTGACACCTCTAAATTATATTATCTTGAAAGTTCCATACAATTGATACATGATCATATTAATGTTTTTCAACTTGACACCTCTAAATTATATTAATTTCAATATTATTATAATTCCATTTAAGTTCATAACATATAATTTATTTTATTTCTGAAGATATGCCTAAATTATCATAATTTAACAACATAATATGATATTATTTTTCACATTAGGAATAATAATATCATTGTAATGATATAATATAAAAATATTATAAGAAATTCTTTGAAAAAGAAATAAATCTAATTTCAGAGAATTGG